TGGAGTATTCGCCTGAGACGATGGAGCAACGAACATGAGAATAACCTCGAAGCATACCCCCGGAAGTGTGCGATGCTCAAGCCGAAGGTTGGCGAAGTGGTACTGCTGACAAGAGCACTGCCATGCCTTTTGCAGGGCTTTGAAAAGGAAGTCTGACTTCTTCCATGCCTCCTTAAATGCCGTCTCTAGAGCGGAGGTCTGCTTCGTGTTGGCAGACGCAGCGTTCTCGAGCGCGGAAACCTTATCGCTCGTGCTGAGGAGCTTCTCCAATCGTCTGTTACATTCCTTCAGCTGATCGAAAAGCTCATTTCTCACTGACTCATTGAAGCTGAACTGGAGCCGGAATGTTTCGTAGTCCCATTTCGATTTTGCAGACGCAAGTTTGGAGGGCTTATTCGGTAGTTGTGGGCTTGACGATCGCTGTTGCTTCTTCGGCTCTGGCGGGGCTAGCTTGCTTTGAACAGTTGCCTTGTCGAGAGATAGCTCCTTCCTCAACTCCTCGGCTGTCTCGTTCATCTCGCGGATGATTTCCATGTACAAGCCGTACGAATCCTGAAGCCGCCCTTCTAAGCGCTCCTGCAAAGCCTTGCTGCTCCAGTCTTTGCCACCCGGGTCACCCACTAGACGAGCCACCTCATCTGTATCATTCACAATCGGCAGCAAAAGCTCTTTCAGATTCCGCTTGTACAAGATCTCATGAAACTGCACGTCGCTGCGGCATTTGGTGTACTCCTTCCGCATGCGCCAGAAGAAACTGCCGACCTTGGCGACATCGCGCCAGTGTTCGAGGCCGGAGATGATCAGGGGAAAGGTCCCAAGGAGAACGCCCGTAACTTCGAGGCCGCTCATCAGGATGCGTTAGAAAGAAGAGAACAACGAGGAGGGTGGAGATTGAGCGAAGCGCGATGTATTGTTGCCGTGGGGTGAGGTGTGGGCTCAGCTAAAGGCTGAGGGAAGGAGTGACCGTTTCGGCTCTTACCCGCCCCGCACTTCAGCCTCGCACAACCAACCCCGCTCGCCACCTACAGCCTGACGAGATGGCATTTCCCGCGCAATACACGATCTTCCATTATCCGAACGGAAACCGCTCGTTCTCGCTGTTGGGTGCGGCACTGGAGCGCCAACCCTGAATGATGCCTGAGCACCTTTCTCATCGATGATCCCCACGAGGCTGAAATTCAAGTAACGGCCGAGCTGTACGTCGCAGCTAGCCCAAGAGCCTAAACTCTGAGAAGTCCGAGCCACAATGGTTGTATCCGTGTTGGAGCGATGTCGGGCCTGCATCACGACCCTGAAGACCATTGTCTCAACCCTTTCCGATCCGGACAGGCAGAAGGGCCGAGTCCATCATAATCAGGTCAACGATGAGCTGGAGAGGTTCAGTCTATGGATGGGCAACATTGGCGCCCTGCATCGACCAGAGTCTTCTATGTCTCTCGAGTCGCGTCTTCGCGAGGCCGACGATGTTTTGATCCATATTCTGGAATTGCTAGATGATATGAACGAGGTCGCTGGAGAACGTGGGTCTGCTGCTTCATTCATGCCTGTGAATCAGCTGACATGATATAGTCATGGAGATCGTCTCTGGAGAGCGCGAAGGGGAGACAGCTTCTGCGCCTCATGATGACGGTGATGATGAAGACCAAAGCGAAGAAACGGAACTTCTCGAGGAATTTGGGGTCTGCGTCACACGTCTCTTCAGAGTATCCGGCCTTATCCGCCAGGCTGCACCCACGGATCTCTTCGCTAAAGCCCTCAGTCTGAATCGATACCGATTCAATGACCAGTTCGACATCGCTCATGTGGGTGAGAAGTACCCGAAGCTCGCCACGGAGGAACTTGCGTGGCTCCAGAAGCGGCTCGGTAGAGCTATCACTCAACGCCGACACTACCTGAGCTACATCCAAGACCACCACGAGAAGCTTGAGGGCATGCTCACTCATGAGGGGACACCTGAGCCTGTAGCACCCAAATCGCAAGCTCCCACCAAGCACCTCCTAGCCATGAAACTACTACCCGACTCTTCCAGCCAGCCATCCACGTTCTTCACGAAGGCTTCGAGTCTGACACCGGGCCACATCACACCCCAGGTGCTCGCTGTGGAAAAAGAATCAGATCCCGAGAATGATGCGAGGTCATACACAGCCATATCTCGTTCTATCGATGGTGATCTTGATTCCTCAACCACTATCAGAATTCCGAAGCTCGACGAGCTGCGAACAGGATCCAAGAAAGAAGTGGAATGCCCGTTCTGCTTTCGAATGAAGAGATTCAAGAACGAGCGTTTGTGGCGACGGCATGTTTTCTCCGACCTCCGCTCCTACGTTTGCACATTTCCCGACTGCGATGCCCCGTACTTCCGCGATATCAACGAATGGTTTCGTCACGAAATGCAGAGCCACCGCGTCAGCTACACCTGCCGATTCTGCCAGAGCAAGACCTTCCAGCTCAAAGAGCGTTACCTTGCCCATGTTCGGAAACAACATCCCGATATTATAAAAGACGGCGAAGAGCAGCCTGTTCTTGATATTGCCCGAAAGCCACTTGATCAGATACCTGCTCATGAATGCCCATGCTGCTCAGAGTGGGTTGATCGTATCAAGGAGCGAGCAGCAGTTCCCAGCATGCCTTCTGACGTATCCAATCATATCCTCAGTGTCATCCCAACCGTCTTCAAGCGCCACCTCGCTTCTCACTTGGAGCAGTTGGCATTGTTTGCTATTCCCATTGGTTCAACTATTGAAGGAGACGTCGATTCAAATGTTGCCATCGAACAGGAGGTGCGTGATGAGTCCGTTAGAACGTTAGAGGCGAAGGAGGTTTTTATCGCTGTAATGGGACAAACTGGTGCTGGAAAGTCTAGTTTCATTAACTGGGTGACCGGAGCAAACTTAGTTGAAGGAGAAAGCTTATCTTCTTGTACGCAATTCGTGACATTTTCTTGCAGAAGAATTACTGCTAATGGGTATCACAGGCACACAAGAAGTCCAATCCGCTTCCACAATCATCGACGGGCGAACTGTGACACTGATTGACACGCCTGGCTTCGACGATAGTAGCAGGTCCGACGGTGAAATCCTCAACCTTATCGCCACTTATTTGAGACACTCCTACAATCGCAACGAGTTGCTTAGCGGCGTTATTTATCTGCATCGAATCACGGATAACAGGATTGGCCATACGGGTAGAAGAACGATGACGGTTCTCCAAAGAATGTGCGGCGCGGATAATTTCCAGAACATTGCACTGGTAACCACCATGTGGGATAAGCTAGTAGACCCAAAGGATGGCGAACGCCACGAAAAGGAGTTGGAAACGAAAGGCGAATTTTGGGCCCATATGATCTCTAAGAAAGCAAAGGTGTCTCGCCACTATGGGAAGAAAGAGACTGCTTTGAAAATTGTAAAACAGATTATCCCGAAGCCTCCGGTTCCATTAACGATACAGGCGGAGTTGTCCTTAGAAAGCGCAAATGTGGCGGGAACAGCCGCTGGGAAGGTCATAACAGGATATCTGCTAGAGCAGAAGAAGCATATCCAGGAGAACCACGAATTTATCAGATTACCGATTGCCCCTGAAAAGATGACGGAAAGAATTGATCAAGATATCAGTTACATGAAGATTCCCATTGAGGACCTGTTGGCCCAAGCTCGGGAGGCCCAGACAGAAAGCAAGGATGGTGGAGCAACGGTGACTGGTGGGGTAACGGAAGATAAGGGGGCAGCGGAGACATCGAACAAGCTACCGTCTAGGAGAACATTTCTGGGGAATTTGATTGACATGATTCGGTGGATGGATCTGAAATACAGCCAACCTAGATTATGAGTGTCATGGTATACTCTACCTAGAAGAGGAAGCTGAGGTGAGGTTTTAGTCTCTTAAAGCTATTCCTCCATTAATAGTCTCATTCGGATACTTTAGCAGTTCAGCTCACTAATATTACCAGTTGGATCGACATCCTCGGGTGCAACTTGTGAACGAAAAACAACCAGCGACAAATTCATTCAGGATGATATGTCAGGTCTCGCTGCTATGCTTAATGGTATAAATAAGTATGTCGCCTAGGCTAGCCAAAGCCCTAGGCTTTACCCCTTTATCTACTGCGCCAAGCGATTCCTCCTCTATAACTAATTAGTTATTGAGGAAGCACCTCTTCAAACGTATTGCAGTGCCTTAGTAGTTAAACACCCTAACTCCCTAACTCCCTACCATCCCACCCTCCACCTCCCGTCCTACTTCTATTTTATACCATTGTAGAGTGGCAATTAGTTTCAAATACCATCCTTGTTAGATCACCTTGATTAGAAATCCATTCGCTAGTAATCCAATTAGCTTTGAAGTAATCTTTGGTTTTTGATCCAAAAATTTATTAATGGGTTATGAATACTTTTACTCGCATCTAACTACTTGTCCTAATAAGGCGACGAAAATTGTCTACGCATTAAAGTAGCTTCTGAACTAGGTGGCGGTTTGCAATATAGTCTTTAAGTTCCTTACACAATTGCGATGAGCTACAGCCTTATTAGCGCCGGCCATAAGAAGCTTTCTTAAGGTTCTGGTCCACAACTAAACTGCCTAGCAGCGGAGTGGTAAGATATTACTGTATTATAAGATGGTACTTTACACATAAAAGTTTCACATGCGTCAGCTCGGCTAGTAATGAGTTATCTCTAGAATGCTTGTTCAGCGTTATTCTATGTTTAGGAAGGCGGATAGTTCACCCCTGTTTACTAATGCGAGGTAAAGTTCCAACAGTGTGTTTGGGTAGAAGCCGATTTTGCAAGCGACTGTAGAATCCTGTTACCCAATCAAAAAAATTTCTCCACTGACTCAGCAATCTCATCTGATCCAATCCCCACTTCGCCTCGCCTAAGCCCCGCCCCATTTACCCATTCCAACTCCGTAACTCTCAATTTAAACCTTCGTTTGAATATTTTAACTTTATATTTTAAACTATTTCCAATTTTTCCAACAATCAAGCTTGACAGTTGGTTCATACTGGCTTCGTGGTCTAGTGGTATGATTCCTGCTTTGGGTACAACCTCAAACTTGCAGGAGGCCCCGTGTTCGAATCACGGCGGAGCCCTTTCAAAACTCTGCTTCCAGCGCTTCCCCACCTTTTTTTGTAGAAATTTTTTACCCTTCAATAATAATCCATTAACAGACTCGCAATTTGAAGAGATGCGATGATGTATGAAGTTGTTTATTTATTTTCTTGTTTGTTTAAGGTGCGCTTGACTTTGTGCTTTCGGTCTTTCCCGTTGAAAATTTCTGTGCCACAACGCACCTCACCCAAAATCCTTTCAATTTCTTCGCCGTACAAAATCCATTCTCACTTGCCAACAATCCATTGAGATCTTAAACAGCGGGTCAAATTACGAGCATTGGGAGGTGCGCGGGTCACGTCCTTAGTGCACAGATAATTCGACGCCCGTCTTCCCTCGACTCTCTACTTTGCTTTCCCTTTTCTCAACCACAAAAAGCCCTTTATTCTGTATCTCTCCCCTTCTCGTCCTGTATACTATGATATGCCTTGCCTTTCTTCAGGTTCTGGGTCCCTCTGCTCCACATAGCGATATTCGAGGACTTGAGAGCCAAATACAACACAAGTGACCGACTAGAAACCGTTAGGCCCTGACGCCCGGGCCCGCCTGACGTCCGCTTTTTAAAAATAAGGAGTAGACTACTTAATTTTTAATCAAATTTCTTAAATTTTTAAACAGTTATTTACATGAATAATATTGATACATTTTTATTATTTTAAATCATACTTTAGTTAGCGTTAAAAAAAAAATCTTTTAAAGGTTTTAGATATTAATCCTGTATATATTATTTTGTTCTTGTGTTATTTAGATGCAATGTTTGGGTGGGCGCCGAGCGTGATGATTGCGCATTAACATGCTTCAGTGGATGTCACATGTACCAGTTGAATCTTCGAGCGGGGTATCGTACGCATTATACTTAGTTCAACACTCAAACCCCGCACATGCATAACTACAGCCTAGTATTAGGAGGACATGTAACTAGGGCAGGCTTCTTCCGTAGTTTTGTGTAGCAGAAGACAGCACGGCGCCTTATTGCTCGCACCACGTATGATTACCCACAGTTTTCAGCTGACTGTGACACCGGGCGTCAGGCCACAATCGACTCTATAGCCTTCGTTCCAGCGAATTTTGGAATCAAACATCGTAGTTCCACTGACGGGCTCACATATGGAGACGCTGATCTCACTTTATCTTGGTGCAATGGCGTTCTTGTATACTAGCCTTTCCTTCTTCCAGATTCCGCAAGTCTAAATCTGCCGACATCATATCCCAACTCCTTTAGCTAGTCCGCTTACAGAGAAGCGATAATGTTGCGGGAAGAGGCGGAAAAGGCAATAACATTCTAACGAATGAGACCCGAGCAGGACTGTATGCTCCAGGCTGGTTGACTTTGGAACTCTGAAGCCATCGTTAATTACGTAGGCCTTGTCTTTTGCCTAGCGTGCTTTCAGGTTCTCCTTTTGTTAGTTCCACAGGTAAATCATATTGTAGAAAATGCTTCATTTTAACGACCGCTTTACCCATTTAGCATTAAAACCTGAACGTTCAGGACCATTCAAAGTCACTCCAACAGTGCGTTCAATAATACTACCTCATACGTTTTGTAACTAGTGTCTTAATGCTATATCGCTATATCCGTCTCTGATAGTCAAGGCTAAGGGCTGGTGGATTATATTTATATACCGTTCTGCGTACCATTGACACAAGTTCTTCAGGCAGCAGAAGCTGCAGAACGCAACTTTCCACAATCTTAAGCCAAACTACTTTTTAGCCAAGGTTTCTCTCTACACCCCACCCCCTCTCCATCAGCAATTAGATATTCCCAATTTGCTTCTGCAGAAATGTCAGACCCAAGCTCATACGAACCTGCTAAAATGACTACGTCGTCTTCGATATTATACCCTTGCAAACCCTCGACGGATAACAGACCCGGCCTCTGCACGTATGCAACGTTTAACGAAGAAAGTTGCATTAGAAAGGTAAAACGGCGTGCTCCCTTGGGAAATCCCCATTTCCATACTGCCCTATCCACGAGTGGCCCGTTAGCAAGTGCTCCTGCAGCTTCCGCCCAAGCGGGCAGGCAAGCCATGCAAGCCCAGTCGATTAGGACAATATCATGATCTTCAATACTATCTGGCCTTTTCGATGCCGATGATACCAGCATGACATTCTGAATCTTTATATCCATGTGCGAGAGTTTAGGCTCCTAGCACCTGGCGGACTTATCAAACAATGATGGAAAACAAGGGCATAAAGCTGCGCCTTAGAATCAAAAGTTCCGTCATCTGTCCGGAATATTGCAGCTCCCACTTGAAAGGTGTCATACACCCGCTCGAGAAAGACTTCATACGTATGGTAAGGGCCAGATAGACTTCGACCTGGGTATCTAGTCATCCTAAAGTTTAAATAAAGCTCCTGATCATGGATGCGGCCATAATAATTTGGACTCGGGGGCGGAATAGAGCGGAGCAGCCGTAACTGTTCGGCCAGTTTACCGTAAATTTTTCTCCTAGCGTGAGGTTCAACCTCCTCCCACTTCTCTTCATCGAAAGTAATACCGTCAATGTATTTCACGACTATATAGTAGTACGTGGGTAGCTCAGAAGCTTCAAAGGGCTCTCTAAACCTCCCCTTAACAGTGAGGCCAAGAAGATCCGCTCCCTTATGTGAAATGCTGCATATAGCTTGGGTGTCCTAACCTTGCACCCCTCTTGCTCTTAGAGGAAATTAAGATTCTGGGCTTCCTATACGCAGAGTTGCTATCAAGCAAGTCAAGCAAGTTGAGGCCACCAACTTGACTTGCTTGACAAAATCGAGCTCTCTGACTTGCTTGACTTGCTTGATGAGGGGATTTGGGTCGACTTGCTTGACAACTTGCTTGACAACTTGATAGATTACATAAGCCTAGTCCAGATCGCTGAGTTGCTCCATAAGCTCGTCAATCTCCTCTATCGTGAGGTCTTGGCATGGTGTTGGTGTACGGCCTAGTGTAGGAAGTCGTCAGCTGCGTCAATAAGTAATAAATCCCTTACTCACTAGGTCTTGGAGTGCGTTTAAGGCCTATCCTCTTCCAAGACCGCAAGGATTGAAGTGCTGATAGGAGATCTGGCCGCATCCTAAGCCTCCTTTCACCCAGGAGATTTCCGAGCTCACTAAAGGTCCTCTCACAATCTGCACTAGAGGCAGGGATTGCAAAAATATCGAGAGTAAAGCGCGCCAAGACAGGAAACTGGCTCTCCTGAAGCAGCCAATAGCGTACAGGATCGAGAGCGAGAGGATGGTCTTTAGGCAGAGCTGGCTCCTTCTTCCAGAGCTCGTACTTATCTCCAGCTGATTGTTCAATCTCTCTAGCAGCCGCTCTCACTGTAGCCGTGATAAAATCGGCCCTGTTTGAGGCAAAGCCAACACGCTGCTTCTTAGTAGGAGGAGAAGAAGATTTGGTAGCCGCAAACTCTTTAGCTGCATTTTCCTTATAACTCTTCTAAAGTTATTGAAAGCCTCTATTGTTCTGCTCCAGCCAGCCTTGCCTAGGATGTGGCCCATCTTTGTCCTCGTCGTAATCATCAGGGATCTTCCAGAGGGCGTTAAGGTAGCTCTTGTAGTGAGGGTGTAGCCGTGTGGCTGCGTAGTAAGCTAGAGCGTTATCAAACTTAGTGTGGTACTTATTAATCTTAGCCTAGGCTGCGTTACAATTAGTTTTGAGGTGATCCTCTAGTGCATCTAGATCCTTATAGTTAATCTCTGCTAGAGACCTCTTCAGCTCTTCAAGCCTGTTTAGTAGCTATTCGAACGTAATTAGAACCTCCTAGATAGCTCCGTGTAGGCCAGATTTGCCTCTTCCCTCAAGCCAGTGAGTAGCCTCCTCAAAAGGCTTGAGTAGGGCAATATACTCAGCAATAGTAGCCCAATCCTGAGGTGTAAGCCCTTCCTCTTGAATGTAGAGCCTTGGCTCTGGTCTCTTAGCTCGATCTCGACGCCTAGAGGCTGTATCCACCCTGTATTCATCTATTTTGTATTGTATGTAGTCGTCAAGGGGGGACTGAAGGGCGACGGCGTGTTTAAAGCAGTGTAGGTAGGAATTCCAGCAAGTCTTTACTGGCTTAATGATCTCCTTTGGTTTGAAGTTGGTAATGTTGAGGCGCTTAGCTTCCTTGTACTGAAATCTCTCTAGTAGTTCTCAGGCCTAGGAGGTGCAAATTGACGATAAAACATTAAGCAAAACACCAATAGGGCTAAATCTCCGCCACTCAGCCATGTGTCTTTCTTCAGCCTAGTAGGTATTAGTAGGTATTAGTAGAGAATTAGTTCTAGTCATGCTACTTATTGCTAAATTCGCCTATGAGTTTTCAAATGAGTCCTTGTCTCTACCCTAAAGCACTACCTAGGCCCTTAAGTTAAGAACATGGCATATACAGCGTAGCTGACGGTGGGATGTACAGAAGTTAAACTCGTTACTAAGAATCTGAATTGTAGAGTCATTGTTGTTGGCGTTGTTAAGTACAAAATAGCCTAGACGCTTCTCATTAATTTAAAACGTCTCTAGTGTAGAGCTTACTATTGAAGTAATGTTTTTACCAGAGTGTTGACCGTGTAGCTGAGGAAGGCTAAGAAGGTAGTCCTGAATCTCTCCTTCTGCATTAATGTGGTGTATACATATTCCTGTAAAAGCTTGCTTACTACTAATTATAGTCTAATTATTAAAGCTAATGTGTGTAAGAGTTTTCGACTTCCTAAGGTATTCAACGACGGAGGGGATATAAGCGTTATACTCAGTAATTATGTGATCACGAAGGCTTTAGTGGTTTTTCTAGAGGGCGCTTTTAGCTAGAGGACTAGCTGCCTTTATCATAACTTAAAAAGTAGGTGTTTTGATTACTTAAAGAGCCTGGTTGTCGCTAATTACCTAGTCCTGTACGGCATCAAGGAACTTCGAGCGGGAGAAACTACCTGCAATTTTATTGGCTACCTCTTAAGAAATTTCAATCCCCCTGTCTTGCATGCTTTGTAAGTAGAGAGCTCTGGCCATAAGAGCGTTTGGTGT